CAACAAGTCACATTGAGGAAATGATGAAGAAATTGATGGCTGACCAGCAAGACCATACAACAGAAATGATAAAGAAAGTGATGGTTGACCAGCAGGCCCAAGCCGCAGCAATGAGAAATTTGGAGCGCCAAATGGGACAACTTGCCAGTGCCCAGAATACTCGACCAGTTGGAGCTCTTCCAAGTAACACTGGAGTTAATCCTAAGGCATCCATTAATGCCGTGTCATTAAGGCATCCATTGAAGTCCAGTCGAAAAAGAGAAAACATATGACTTTTAATGTGAGGTCAGCCACTATAGAATCAAAATCAAAAAAATCAAAGGAGTCAGAGAAGCTAGCTGAAGAGGCAGTGACTGAGCCGCCCCCACCATTAGTTGCAAGGCCACCACCTCTGTTCCCTCAAAGATTGCATAAAGTGAAGGATAATGTCGCGTACAAAAAGTTTCTTGATATTTTGAAGCAGGTACAAATAAATATTCCATTGGTAGACATTTTGCAAGAAGTGCCCAAATATGCAAAATACATCAAGGACATAGTGGCCAATAAAAGGAGGCTGACTGAATTCGAGATTGTGGCACTCACTGAGGAATGTAGCCCGAGAATCCAAAGCAAGCTGCCTCAGAAATTGAAGGATCCAGGTAGTTTCACTATCCAAATCTCGATTGGTAAGCATGCAGTCGGGCGAGCTTTGTGTGATCTTGGAGCGAGCATCAATCTGATGCCGCTATTTGTGTTCATACAGTTGGGTTTGGGTGAGCCGCGCCCAACAACGATAATCTTACAGTTGGCCGATCGCTCCCTTGCTCATCCGGAAGGAGTGATTGAAGATGTGTTAGTTCAAGTGGGTTCTTTCATATTCCCTGTTGATTTCATTATCTTGGACTACGAGCCTAATTAGGAAGTCCCATTTATTTTCGAGCGTCCATTCTTAGCCACGGGCCGAGCTATTATTGATGTATGCGAAGGAAAGATGACGATGAGAGTAGGTGATCAAGTGGAGGTATTTAATGTGTACAAAGCACTCAGATTGCCAGCCCACTATGAAAATCTATCCATGATTTATGTAGTGGAAAGCAATGGTACGTCATTGGTGCCTTATATGAGCCCCATAGATCCTCTTGAACGAGCTTTGATTGGGAATGAAAAAGACACTGAAGATAAGATGATGGGCGAAATTGAGCAAGTACTTGACACGTCATGCAACTATGTCCATGGAATTAGGAAGTTTGAGGAGTTGGGCATGCATGTTACTCTAACCTTTCCTAAGCCATCTATTAAGGAAGCTCCAGAGCTAGAATTAAAGCCCCTTCCAGCACATTTGTGCTATGCTTATTTAGGGAACTAGGAAACATTGCCAGTAATTATCTCGTCCAGCCTGACTAATGTACAAGAATAAACATTGCTCAGAGTATTTCGCGAGCATAAAAAGGCTATAGGGTGGACAATTGCTGACATCAAATGAATCAGTCCATCATTTTGCATGCATAAAATTTTTCTGGAAGATGGACACTGCCCCAGTGTTTAGCAGCAAAGGAGATTGAATCCTATCATGAAAGAAGTCATGAAGAAGGAAGTAATTAAGTGGCTCGATGCAGGTATCATCTTTCCTATCTCTGACAGCAACTGGGTAAGCCCAGTGCAATGTGTGCCTAAAAAGGGAGGGATGACTGTGATTGAGAATGAAAAAAATGAGCTAATACCTACTCGCATTATGACGGGGTGGAGAGTTTGCATTGATTACAGAAAGCTCAACAAAGAAGCCCGCAAGGACCATTTCCCACTTCCATTCATTGACCAAATGTTGGACAGATTAGCGGGGCATGAATATTATTGCTTCCTTGATCGTTATTCGGGGTACAACCAGATCTCCATATGCCCCGAGGATTAGGAGAAGACCACTTTTACTTGTCCTTATGGCACATTCTCCTTCAAGCGAATGTCGTTTGGTCTTTGTAATGCACCAGCTACTTTCCAAAGATGCATGATGGCTATTTTCACTGATATGGTGAAAAACTTTGTGGAAGTTTTTATGGATAATTTTTCAGTCTTTGGGTCTTCTTATGATGATTGTTTGAAGAATTTGAGCAAGGTTTTGGCCCGTTGTGAAGAAATAAATCTGGTATTGAATTGGGAAAAGTGTCATTTTATGGTGCAGGAATGCATCGTGTTGGGTCACAGAGTGTCTAGGAGTGGCATTGAAGTTAATAAAGCGAAGGTGGAAGCGATTGAAAAATTACCTCCACCCATTTCTGTGAAAGGTGTCTGGAGTTTCTTGGGACACGCGGGATTCTATCGGCGCTTTATTAAAGATTTTTCTAAAATTGCTACTCCTTTGTGCAGGTTGCTTGAAAAAGATGTAACTTTAAATTTTGATGATGCCTGCCTGAAAGCATTTGAAGAGATCAAAAAGAAGTTGGTGGTTGCCCCCATTATTGCGGCACCTGATTGGTCCTTACCATTTGAGCTTATGCGTGATGCAAATGACCATGCTATTGGGGCAGTGCTAGGCCAGAGGAAGGACAAAATGTTTTATTCCAACTGCTATGCGAGTAAGACTCTTGATGATGCGCAGCTAAATTACACCACCACTGAAAAGGAGTTGTTAGTTGTGGTGTAGGCCTTTGAGGAATTTCGGGCATATTTGGTGGGAACAAAAGTCATAGTCCATACCGATCATGCAGCAATCAGGTATATCTATTTACAAAAAATGAATCTAAGGCTAAATTGATGCACTGGGTTTTGTTGTTGCAGGAATTTGATGTGAAAATAGGAGATCGAAAGTGCACAGAGAACCAAGTAGCTGACCATCTATCAAGGCTGGAAAATCACGATCACGTGGAGGAGGGTGGCCAAATTAAAGAAGTATTTCCTGATGAGCAACTTTTTGCTATCACCCAAGACCCTCTCCCATGGTACGCAGACTATGTGAATTATTTGGTGAGCGGGGTACTTCCTCCTGAAATTGAATCTGAGGCTAGAAAGAGATTTCTACATTATGTGAACTTCTACTATTGGGATGAGCCATATTTGTACAAGCAGTGTGTTGATCAAATGATGAGGAGATGCATACCAGAAAAAGGAGGTCGAACTAATATTGTACGATTGTCACGCATCACCCTATGGGGGCCATCATGGAAGCGATAGAACAACTGCAAAGGTATTACAATCCGAGTTATTTTGACCAACATTATTCAAGGATGTATATTCTTTTATTAAAAAGTGTGACCAGTGTCAGAGAACAGGAACAAGCACAAAGAGGCATGGGATGCCTTTGAATAACATCCTGGAGGTCGAGATTTTTGATGTACGGGGAATAGATTTTATGGGACCATTCCCATTGTCCAGAGGAAACAAATACATTTTGCTACCAGTTGACTACGTGTCAAAATGGGTAGAGGCGATCGCATTGCCAACAACTGATGCCATGGTGGTAGCTGCGTTTGTAAAAAAGAACATATTTTCAAGGTTTGGGACTACACGTGCTTTGATAAGTGATGAAGGGACACACTTTTACAATCAGTTGTTGAATAATCTTCTAGCTAAATATGGAGTCTACCATAGAGTTGCGACGACATATCATCCTCAAACAAGTGGACAAGCAGAGGTGTCGAGCAGAGAAATAAAGCAAATCTTAGAGAAGACGGTGAGTGTGAATATGAAGGATTGGGCTGCAAAGTTAGATGATGCCCTGTGGGCATATAGAACTGCATACAAAACGCCAATTGGGGCGTCGCCTTATAAGCTTGTTTATGGGAAGGCATATCACTTGCATGTTGAACTTGAACACAAAGCGTATTGGGCCATTAAAAAGTTGAATATGGACTTCGAAGCCGCGGGCGAGAAAAGACTCCTGTAGTTGAATGAATTAGATGAGTTCAGGCTGCACTCTTATGAAAATGCTAAGCTTTACAAAGAAAAGACAAAGAGATGGCATGACAAGCATATCAAGCCGCGTCAATTCGAGCCAGGCCAACAGATGTTATTGTTCAATTCTAGGCTAAGGTTATTTCCTGGGAAGTTAAAATCGAGATGGTCAGGCCCATTTGAGGTGGTGAGAGTCACTCCTTATGGTGCAATTGAGCTGCGCGGGGTAAATGGTGAGAGAAAATTTTTAGTGAATGAACACAGAGTAAAGTACTATTGGGGAGAATAATTGATCGTGAGAAGATCAAAGTTGTACTCGCTGATGAGTAAGCGAGGCCCTGCGTCGTGCCGCGACGTTAAATCAGACGCTTGTTGGGAGGAAACCCAATTTTTATTACTTTCATAGTTTAGCTTCTTAACTTTTTAGTTAGAGTAGTACTTCGGGAGAAGGTTATGAGAGCAATTATCGATTAATTAGCAACCATGAATGAATTGTATGAAAGTGACAGTTAACTAGAACACAATAGGATTGGTGAATCGATCACAACCCTGGAATATTTGTCTCTATTGAATACATAACAATCATTTTACTGCTTGATAATTTAGTATTACTCAGAATTATAGTTTAGTATAATCACATTCTTGAACTCGAATTTGGCTTGACTGAATAACAATCTTGGTGAATTTAATGGGTAGTGGATACAAGTCTCTGTGGGTTCGACACTCGACTTATCTTTTTATTACTTGTACGACCACGTATATTTGCGTGTGCGTTTGGGAGCAACGGCGTACCACAACTAATTCCATGAGGTACCTACTACTAACATATGTATCGGCTCTGTCCAACGATTATTTTTTTTTCCTATTTGGACGTACCAAATTTAGAGCATCAATTAAAAAAGAGATAGAACCATAAAACTAAAAAAAAATACTAGTTTGTAAGACCCACAAAATTAAGTGGGATAATTTTGAAAAGTCTAATTGATATGATACAAAATAATCAAAAAAAATAAAATAATACAGCGTCGTTTCAACGCAGAACACATATAGGAAATGAAATATCTTTCCACAGACAAGTTAAATATAACGGTTCAANATATATATATATATAAGCAGCCGAGGCGGTGACTGTAATTTGCCCTCTTTTGTTTATTTGTTCATAAAAAATGTGGGACGAGGAGCGTCAGTTTGAGTCAAAGGCCGACGCCGGAGCTTCGAAGACTTATCCATCCGTAAGAACGGTTACATTGTCATCTCTTGCAAGGTTTTTCTCTCTTAAGCGGATAATTTTACTTGTTTTTACTGATTTAGATTTCTACTTTTTGTTTCAACTTTGTATCTAAATTTCGACTATGATCTATTTCGTGCAAAAAAGAAAAGATTTTTTGCAGAAAATAAATATTAACCTCAATCAGAAAGTGTGTCCTTGTATAAAAAATTCCTTGATTGCTTCCAGTGTTTGGTAACAGGTGGTGGAAGTGTCTACTTCCAAGACTGGCAAGCACGGACATGCCAAAGTGACATCTTCACTGCAAAGAAGCTCGAGGATATTGTTCCCTCTTCACACAATTGTGATGTATGTGCAGTTCGCTATATTCTTTTCGTTATATAATTATTTAATTGTCCTAACTGTGCTTGTTGCAGTTCCCCCATGTTAATCATACAGATTACCAACTCATAGACATCTCTGAGGATGGATTTGTATGTAACCATTTATAATTTGCAGATTAAGGATGAATTTGCTGAGGGCAAAGACCTAGTTGTGTCTGTCATGGGTGAGGGAGGAGCAGATTTGTGCACTCAAGGATATTGGTCCAAAGTAAATTCGTTAAGAGCGGTTGCACATCAAGATTGTGGATCAACTTGTTCAAGATATTTATTATCTTGATGATATCAATATCTGTTTATGTTAAAGGTTTAGTCTCATCTCCGCACTGGCCTTGAATGCTTCTTATAGCGTAGTTGAGACATGGCGTCTTGAATTAGCGCATCAAAGTTCAAACTGGACTTGAATTCTTCTTATAGTGAAGTCGAGTTTTGGCATCGTATTATTGACATTTGGTACGCAAGCAACAAATTGTGATGGGATGTCGAGAGATATGCTTTCTATAAGATTTAATCTGCCAACAGACCAAAATATGAAATTTTCTAATCCAATACTGCTATGATCTGTAATAAGGAAAATCTGAGAAAATGATTAGGAAAGGTGACTAGGAATAGGGAGGAAGAATAGGGAGACCACAATAAAAGGAGAAGTTTCCCATCATTTCTTTTCGTTGCTTTAGTGAACGAATGCAAAGTTCAACGAGGTACGGGTGGCATTATAAACTGAAAATTTGCTGTTTGTAAATGCCTTCACCCAGAAACAAAAAGGTCTTAAAATGATTTGAACTCACGCGTTCAGGGGTCCGTCCAAATGGTACACTTCTTACTGAATTAATCATCATCCTCGCTGCACGGACCAGGTTTCACTGCAGTAATCGATGATTTAACTCATATACCTGATGGCTGTTCCAAGCCAGTCATCAGGTATGCTGCCTTTCAAGATTCCACTCAGGGCTTTCACTGAGTGGTCCGTTCCTGCCTGCACCAACCTAAATCTCAGCACACAAGCAAACAACTAAGCCTCAATCCCAAACAAGTTGGGATCAGCAATATGAATCCTCACTTCTTTCACAGCACACAAGAAAAGAAATAATATATATCAAACTAGTTGGCATAGGCTGTATTTTTTCACCCTCGGTGGCTTTCCAGGAAAACATATTACCTTTGTTATGTAGACATCGATTCCAAGCTTTGCAATCATAGCGGCTTCTGTTATCTTTGTCACCATCCCACCAGTTGTATCATGGGCAGCTACAGTGAATTCAACTGTTGATGAAAGATTGAGGAATGATGAATACCAAGTAAACAAACTCTCTCTGAAGATAGTTGAATGCAAGTCAAACTGTTTAGTGCCTTTATAATGAAATAAGCAGCTAAATCCAGCATGGCACTGTCTTCTTCAGTTGCAACTTACGGTATAAGAACAGATGTACTTATTCTGATTGATATATGCACACAAGGCAATTAGATTCGCAGCCCCCAACAGTATAATCTTCTCCATTTGGGTCTGGCTTTCTTATACGTAATTGTGGGCTTGTTTTATGACTATCAATATTGAGGAATTTGCAGATATGAGAATGAAGCTATATTGGTGTTCAAATGCATATTCAGTTCCCAGAGTAAGCAAAATTGATGTGACAATATGATTGTTCTACACTGACCTGGCTTGCTTGTGTCCTCTAATCTAGGTTTCACTACCGACCAGCTTCCATCTTCACGTACAGCTGTCACAAGTGAACATTTCTCGTCTCAATATGATGCAGCTTCCTGTAGTTGCTCTACGGAAAGTAATATATTCAAAACAATGAACCCAACTCTAGGGCTAAAACGGAGCATTTACCAATTTCCCGGATAAGCACAGCGCCAGGTTCTACTGGTGGACGATCATATACGCCAAGTACATCTGTCTTCACTCAAGATGTATAGGATACACTCGTGTAAAAATGAAGAATCTAGAAAGTCTTATGGAGTAACTATTCTAATTTGCAAATCTCCAGCATGAACAGTATCAGAATGCACTCTCTACATAACAATGCGTCGGATACAAGAAAAACAACAAACTCTGGCTTTAGTTCAGCTGCTAAATGACGTATTATCACGTCTCCGCTCAGAATGGTGCACTCCTGAACAAGTGAAAGGATTAAGTAAATGATCACCAAGTTAATGTTCAATTATACTTGAAAAACAGACCTGTAATGTATCCAGGACAGCATCTCCATGCAAAACCTGGAATTCAAATGAACTTGTGTTATAACATTCCAATAGTTATGTTCACAAATTAGAAAATTGAAGCAATTACAATGACAAAGTGACCAAATTAGGAAGTGATACTTTAATTCACTAATCTGATATCCTATGAAAGAATAAAGAAGAAAATCTTTATGAAGGGCAATATAATCGAAGTTCCTTGCAATGAAGAAAAGACTCAAAAGTGGTCACTCAAGGCAGAGCGAAAGCTAAGCTAAGGTACATTTGCAGAAAACCATCTTTTTCTTTTTGCTAACATAAATTGGTTATTTCACACAGATTAACATTGTATATAATGAACATGACACTAGTTCAAGTAAAATAATATTTTGAAAAGCTTTCGAACTACATAAATAAACTTTAACTGCCAGCCCCTTTCATATATAATTTAGTGATGAACTATCATTAACATTAGATAATCCATAGTTAATTGTACTCGGACCTACTCTGAACACAAAATTATCTGATTGTGAAGTATGGTCGTTGGATATAAAGATAGCTTAAAATTACACAAAGACAGTTTATACCATGTGTTAATACATTTATTGGCTTTTAACTCTTCAAATAACCGATACGGCTAAGTATCAGCACTGAGCAGGTTTCATGCGTATATGTGATTGTAAGAGAGACAATCATCTGTGGTATTTTTCCCACAAGAAACATGAATTTCTATGAGTGAGGAACAAGTTCTCCATATCTCTTAAAATTTCTTGGTAATGTTTAAATGTCATGAATCAAATGTTGTGCTAAAAGAAAAAAAAACACATTATATGCCTTCAGATCTTTAACTCTCAGCAGAAATCTGCTCCTACATCATAATTAAATATGATCCTTTCTGCCTATAATAGTGGTATAGCAGATAGTTAACACTTAAGAATCAAGTCAAACTCAAATACATGGAAGATATTTTACTCCAGCACTTGAAAAGGAGCTAGAAGAAGAAGTAATAGCAGGCACATACCCAAGAATGAAACATAACGTCTTGCATGATGGGAGTGCCCTCATCCAAAAGATTTTAGCACCAATCCCACTTTTGTTAGTTTTCTTTTTGTGCGGGTTTTGTCATAGTTTGTTAGAGATACTATGTCATGCATCAGTTTAAAGTTTCCAAAAAGTTACATTATGACCTAGGCTGCTTCACACATTATCATAAGGTTTTGGCTTCATTACTCCGGTTCTTTTACAAGGTAACAGAGCTAATCTTAAGTAAAAATGTTCTCTATGTAAATCTGTTCAATCAACAGTTTTTCTCTCTACTTCTAGTCCAATTGTACATTGTCTCTCTATCCAATTAGTCGCTTTGCACTTGGCTCAGTCTACCAACTCAACTAGCCACTAGCTCTATTGTAGGTTCTTTTCTCTACTCGTTGAACCCAGTTTCTATGCTTCAATCCTCCAGATACCTTCTTCAACTTGTTGATCTTAATCTCTTTGCTCTAAACTCACTCTTCAACCTACAAGCCACATTCACGTTGTTGAGATTACTTATGCGAAATAATGTTACAGATACACAACATGCCGCGCCTTGTTAAGAGTTGCAGAAGAGCTTTATCATTGTCCGGCTACTCCACCCATTATATTAAGGATTTGGATTGGATGTGCAGATTATTTATAATTGTCACATGGCAAGCCTTTAGTTTAGATATGTGGGCTTATGAGTCACAAAATGTTAAGCACAGAACAATCCACTGAATAGGAAGGTCAGATTCCCTTTTAGGTAAGAGGGCCACATGAATTTTGTTAACTTCAGTTTTGAATCCTCGTGTGTAATTCACTAATTCCTTCGCCCAGTACTCGTTTTTTCACTTTTTACTTAGTATTACTATTTCATGCATGTTTCTCAGCTCGTCTATCGCATGGGATGTATCTGCTTTTCTCTCTTCAACCCAAAGATTCTAAGGATCCCATGGATCACCAGAGTTCCTTTCCTTATGCATATAATCTGTTGCTTTACAAGCGTGGGGTCTTTAGCTGGTGCTGGCGCCTGCTGCAATGCCTCCGGAACCTCACTGTTGTTCAACAGCAGTGCCCTCCTCCAAGAAGAATGGATTCAAAATTCTTGATCAACATGTCAAAAAGAGCAAGACAGCGCGATACATCATTACCAACAACATTCATGCACAGAATCATCCTAAAAGTAAAAAGCTAGAAGGAGCTTTGAGTAGTAGAACTTTTTCCTTTTCTCCATGTTCTTCTACAGGTTTTTTTGAGCTTTTGGTGTATATGTCAAAACCCATATGATCATGAGATTTTGCACTATCTATAACATTCTTCTAGACATTCATGTGGAACATCAAAGTTTATGAATATACATCAAAAAGAGCTGACAGTTAAGCACCTCCTAGACATGAAAAGCCTAAACATCATGAGAAAGCTACCTACACAATGCACATTCTGAATGATATGCTTGGCTAAGAAAATGATATGAAAGATATCAGGGGAAAGGTAAGAATATGGTCAGGAAGTCTCTGTTTCACATAAAAAACAAAACTGAAAAATAATCACAGAGCCTAAGGAGATAGTTATATGTGTGAAAAATAATGAGTGGTCAGGCTAAGACCCAACGAGTTTAAACTCACAGGTATAAAACCAGCATCAATTGCTTTAATGACCATTGAAATGTCAGCCTCTGTCATCTGCAAAAGCACAAGTTGTCAAATTTCAAAATATTTCATGGAAAGGAACAATTTGTTTTTTCCCGAAAGAGCTTAAAAATATAGCAATATATCCATTAAATAAAATGATCTTCAGTTCGCCTTCTAACATTTCTTTGACATGTTGACCAACCACATGAGAATGGAGACATTCCGATGGAAGGAATACCCTCTGCAACAACAAAAACCATTTGTTAGGAATGTACTGGTAAGAGACAGACATAAAATCGTAATGTAGCGCATGACTAAGTAATCTGTGAAGAATGAATTCAAGTAAGCTCTTCAAGTTAAAAATATGCATTTATGGTGAATCATTAACAAGCCTTGTACATGAAGAGCGTTGATTGTTTGACGGTTAACTGGATGGACAGTTATCTAGTACTATGAAGATCAACAGCGTGACTAGATTAATTAGGATGTTAGCTTTAAAAAGAGCGATGTGCCCTTGTAACATCTTCCATAGAGCGTCATAGCCCCTCCAATCTGATATGATAATTACTTATGGCCTTCACAGTGTCTTTTCAAATCCTATTTCTTATCGTGCAGTAAAGAAGTTGGGCTAAGAGAGAGATTTCAGCACTTAAACATCAAAATTTATTTCAAATCCCAACCCTGCCCAAAGTGAGACCAACTGGAGGTAAATGGAGTGCAGATGTGAAAATGTTACATGTCACGCTACCAGTAACATTTAATCTCATCTATTTCAAGACAGGCTTAGAGACTAGCAGTATAGAAAAGAAATTGTTATGAGTACCTCTTGCTAGGGCTCTCACGATTTCAAGATTGAGGGATGTGACCTGGAATAAAGAAAAATGAGTATTCTATAGCATATTACCAGGGCATCAAAGCAAAAGCATAAAAAGGAGATCATTACATACAGACAAAGGAGTCTAACAAGTAATTAAGTCATAATCACTTAATTTGCAGGAAACACCAAACCCGTCGTTCCTTGAACACCTAAATAGAAAACTCTCAGGTAGTGCATAAGGTTAAGCAGATAAGAACTCAAGCATGGAAGTTAAGCCCGCATAAGATCCTGGAAATATGCCCAAAAGAAGAGGAGAACTAAGATGCATGCATGAAGTATATTTTGTAATGTTTGTGACCCAAATGAAAAAACCATGGAATGTAGAAATGCAAAAGAAAACTGAGGGAAGCAAATATTTCACTGGTCTCAGCAACGGCACCGCTAGTCCTAAGTTAAAAGCAGAATGTAGAAAAGGAAAAAAGACAATATCAGCTACATAATAGAGTTGAAAAATGTGTGCCACGCGGAACAAAGATATTGCTTGAAAATGAAAAGGTGAGGGCTGGATCTTACTGAAATTCTTGTAGCAACAAAACCAGCCTTGACAAGAGGTCGGCTTAGTCCACCCTTATGAACACCTGACTTGCTAGCTTGAAAGTGTCCAAAGGAACCTGAAGGCAATGATGACAACGTAAAAGGGTCACGAGTTTACATGAAACTAAGAACTAAATTGTCCTTCTAGAGAAGTAAATCTGGTAGATTATGTTTTATTCATTTCATAATTCACATCGTTTTGTTGGCTAATGAACCTTAGAAATCTTGCTAATGACTAAGCACACTCGACAACATCAACCTGCTCCATGAACAACAATAAAACTTTCTGAATCCGCAACTGGTTGATCACTGAACTCATCGACGAAACTTGGAGGTTCAGACTGTCCCGGCCTTTTGCTCCAATCCATTCCAAGAATTTTTGCAGAATCAGAATTCGGAATCAATGCTTGACGAAGCTGGGATGAAACTTCCGTAAGATTCTCCTCATCTATAGTCTCCAATTTATTTTTACATGTGATCGCTGCACCTCCTGAACTAAACAGTAAACAAGTAATGAATCCTCAGAAAGCAGACATGCTAATAAGTAGAAAAGGATTCTAATCCCCTTGTTTAAACCAACCTGATGTCACTTCAAATGCAATTTATACATTGTAAAGAGTAACCTAAAATAGTTAAATACAAACTCCGAAGAGAGAATCAACTGGTCCATTCTAATTGTTAAGTGACCAACATATTTCTATTTTTATTTTTTCTACAGGTAAAATCAATCATTATGTCTCAATCTTAAACTATGGGCTCATATACTAGGAATCCTCCGTATCAGTGAAAGAATATACATTCTTGTTTGGCTATTTTTATGTTGTCTGTCAACCTATTATAACTCTCCTTTATCCAGGCTTGTAATGCTATGTTTTGCACATATGTGGAGTTAGTTTTTCCCCTCTTGTTTATAGGTAAAAATCGTCAAAAAAGAAAATAACAGTGTTTCCTGTAAGATGAAAGCACATCCAAGCTGAGGCATCATCATATCCGAGAGTTAATAAGTAAAGGAACTCTTTCCCCGAAGAAGATACAAGGATCTTAGAAAAATAAAAAAATGGTACTTTCTTCGGAACTACAAAGTGTAAAAGTACTTGCTATAGTGAAATCAGTTGCTCCTCTCGGGTCATGATTTTTTAATTATGTACTATTTAGAAGGATTTTTCACGTTAAAATCCTTGTGTATTTGTTTCTCATTTTATTATCGTTAATTACCGTATTTTGGTTCTCAGCATTTATTGCAGTTAGAACAGTGAATATACTTTCCAACAATTGGTATCAGAGCACATGTTATGCTCATAAACAGAAATATTTTTCATGGTCGGTTGTAACTCTAAGAGAAAATGTCAGTAAAGTACGAGGTAACAAGATTCAACAGTAATGACGGTTTTCTATATGACAAAGAAGGATGAAAGATCTACTTATCCAACAAGCAAGGCACTAGATAGCAATAGGACGAAGCCCGAACCCATGAAACATGAGGATTAGGCGGACATGAATGAAAAGGCAGCCAGTGCAATCCAACTGCACTTGTCTGATGAAGTACTCAATAATGTCGGTGATTAAGATAGTGACTGTGGTATTTAGAAAAGACTAAAAAGCATGTACATGTCCAAATCCTTGGCAAACAAGTTATTTTTAAGAAAAGAACTATATGATTGAAGGTACAAATTTCTGATCACATTTAAATATGTTAAATGGATTAATCATGCAGCTAGCCAACCTCGGAGAACAAATTAGTGAATTAGATAAGGTAATCTTGCTACTGAACTCGTTGCCATCTTCCTATGAATAATCATCCTGCATTATGAATAATCATCCTGCATCGTAGAGATGCCATTGAGTTAAAGGAGGTCATATCAGTCATCCTACTCAATGAGAAGATAAGGAAGAAGCTTGAGAATCAGGGGCAGGGCTCTTATCATGGAAACAGAGGCATGAGGCATTATAAAGCTTCGAGTAGCATGATAAATTCAAAGGTCGTGGAAAGTCCCGGGACCGTCAAAAGGTAGAAATTGTTACAATTGCGGCCAAACCGATCACTTCAAAAGAAATTGTCCAAATCCAAAGAAAGATCAAAAACAGTGGCCATAAGAATGATGACAACACAATTGTCATAGTGCATAATGATGATTTGATGGCTCTCTTCATTCGCGAGAGGAAGGATGCATATACTTGGCAAGCCAGGAGTCAAAATAGGTGATTGACATAGCAGCATCCTAACATGCCACTCCGGAATAGTTTTATAGGTACATCGTAGAGAACTTTAGGACGGTCAAGATGGGAAATACCAATCACTCAAAGATTGTGAGGATTAGTGACATTTGTATCAAGACAAATGTCGGAGACACATTAGTTCTAAAGTTGTGCAAAACATACCAAATTGCGAATGAATTTGATTCCAGGGATCGCTATAAATTGAGGCGGGTACGCGAATCATTTCGCCAATAGGAAGTGGAGGCTCATCAAAGGATCATTGGTGATTGCTAAAGGAGTTGCTCGCTACATATTCTACAAGGCAACCACTCAGTATGAGATGCGATTGTAGATGACATACCAGTAGATTTGTGGCACCAAAGATTGTGCCATATGAGTGAGAAGGGACTGCAGATTTGTGGCATCAGATGCACATTAGTTCTCTACCATGCAAGATGGTTGTTTCCAAATTATCACAGGAAGATGGCAATGAGTTTAGGAAAGGGATAGCCTTATCTACTTCACTACATCTTTCTCCAAGATTGACTAGCTACGTGATTAATCCATTAAACATTTAAATATGACAAGAAATTCGCACCTTCAGTCATATGAATGAAATACAGTTGCTTTCTTAAAAACAACTTGTTTATCAAGGATTTGGACATGTACAAACTTTTTAGTTTTTTTTAAATGTCACGGGTACTACCTTCATCACCTATATTATTGAGTACTTCATCAGACAAGTGTAATCAGATTGCACTAGCCGTCTTTCCATCCATGTCTGCCTAATCCTCAGGTTTCACGTGTTCGAGTTTCGTCTCATTGCCATCTAGTGCCTTGCTTATTGGATGGGTAGATCTTTCATCCTTCATTGTCATATAGAGAAACCATCATCTCTATTGAATTTTGTTACCTCGTACTTTATTCCTGATATTTTTTTTTCACAGAGTACGTTACAGCCGACCATGAACAATAATTTTATGTATGAGCAAAACATATGCTCTGATACCAATTGTTGGGAAAAATAACCAACAAAAAATATTCACGGTATATAACTGCAATAAACACAGAGAACCAAAATACAGTAATCAACGATAATAATATAAAAACAAGGACACCTATATTTTAACATGGAAAATCTTTTTTAGAGAAAATCACGACCCGAGAGGAGTAACTGATTTCACTATAGCGAGAACTTTTTCACCTCACTATAATAATGCTCACACTCTTTTTCCTCTCAAAGTATTTTATTTCTCACACTTCGTAAATTCTTCTCTTGCTCTCTGTGTTTTGTGTCATACAACTGAGAGAGCTCTGGCCTATATATAGTAGTAGAATTGCCTGGTGTACCCTTTATGCCAAAAGTCAAGTTTGACATTGGTGAACACTAGGGTTGTCTAAGGGTGGGGGATTTCCCGGAACCGGTCCGTACCGGTACCGCTCCGTCCCGGTCCGGTTGGGGGGTAGGGGTAAGGGATTGGGGCTAAGGGGAAGGAGAAGGAGAAGGGGAGGGGTAGGCCTGAAAAAAGTACCCTTAGAACTGGTCTGATTGGTACCCTAAAGGTACCGTACCGGCAGTGGTCCGGTACAAGACCGGTACCCTTAACTTTTTTTTTAATTTTTAAATTTAACTATTTTTTTACCGTAAGACAGCGGTTATTGGCAACGGCCAAAAACGGCTATTTTTGCCACCCTACCCCCTAACACCCTCCCTAACCCTTAATTTATATTTTTAACCTCGAAGTTTGTCAAATTACACTTTGGCCCTATTTTTAAACGATAAATATCTCATTTTATTCTTTTTTTTCACATAAAACTCTCCTCTCTCTCTCTCTCTCTCTCTCTCTCTCTCTCTAATTGCAATTAATATTTTAGCACTCAATTATTTTACTATAATTTTTCAAGCATCAACATCAATTATACGACGACGTATTTTTTTGTTGGCGCTACACCACTAGTCGGAGCAATTTTCTTCCATCGACATCAATCATATATTAGCGCTTGGTACACTCGTTCCGACTTTTATTAAGTTTCGCATTTATTTTTGTTATCCCTGTATTGCTATTTGTTGTTATTTTAATTATTTATTATTAAAAATGGCTCCTAAAATGGTAAAGAAAATATTTACTAGATTGACTACGGTTAATGCTAGGGAGGGGGTCCCTGTTGTGAAACAAAGTCCGGGTATATCTGTTACAGACAAGAAACGTATAATTCTGCCTTTCAAGGTTTTCCTAGAACAACAGTTAGAAATGATGTTTGCAATGATGAAGGAAATGATGACTTGCTGAAATATTGGATTAAAGCGGAGAGAAGAAACATTAGCTTTCCAGATATAAATCAAGAAGACTATGATGCATAATGAAATACTACCTACCGGAGATGGTGGGGATGCAGAAGAACAAGTACTATCAATTTCAAGCGAAGAACCACTAAAAGTTATTGAAAAATTATATAAATCCTTCAAAAGAAAAATATAATTTTATTTTTATAAGTATTGAAATACAAATAAATACTTATAATATTTACATTGCATTAAATAAAATAAAAGTCACTTCATAGCCTTGAATATTTTTATCCCGTAAAGTTTGTGTGTATTTAAATATAGCAATATTTTAAATTTGAATTTAAAACACCCCTAAGTACCCTTACCGATACCGCCCCCTTACTCAGTTCCCTTAAGTACCCAGAACCCTCCCCTCAGACAGCCCTAAACACATACAAATATTGACTGGCCGCCTATTAAGTTCAAAGAAGAACAACAAACTTTCTTTCCTCTTTTTCATGGTTTCACATTCTGGTAGATGGGGCTGGACCTCACAAAATAAGAGCCTCTTCCTGGTAGGATGAGTTATTTTTTCCCTTCTTATTTATAGGTAAAAAATATCACAAAATTTGTCCTAGATGAAAACTTCCACAACTTTTTAGACCCAATACTTCTTGGACCCATTTCAATACCTCAGCCAGTCCAATAAGTAAATGATAAAAGTAATAAACAAATTGCTCAAGATCCCAGATCACTCTCCCTTGTATTGGTCGGAAAAAGCAAATAGGGTATTCCAAATTTCAGATTTTTCAATCAAATCCACACATATCAGATTAAATGTAGAGAAACAATGAAAATGGAACTGAAAGAAACTAAAAGATAAAAAAAATAATAATAATAATGAATACCAAGATTGAGCGTTAAGGAAAAAGAGTAACTCACCGAGCTTGACGATGCAGCGAACGCGTTTGGTTGGAGGGACAGGGGCGGAAGCTTTATTCTGCTCCATTTTGGTTGACGCTTTCTGCTACTCGTCTAAGTCGCTGCTGCTACTGCAACAGTAGAAACTCTGTCTTTGTTCAAGCTGACTCCGAGCCCGAGGTAGCTCAAAATTGAAGCACAAAATCAGCACTTCTTCTTTTTATTATTCTTTTTCTTTCTTTCTTTCTTCTAAATGCACCTGGGTTTTTTTTAATGTTTGTCTGAGCTTAGACGATATTTTGACCGAGGGATTAATGTAATAGTAATTCATTAAAAAGAGAATAATTTAACAGTAATTTGATTTACGTTAACAATATGTGAAAATGGTTTTATAATTAATTTGCCCAATCATTTAGGACTTTTTAAATATAGAAGCAATATGAATTAGAATTGAAAGGGTACTATTTCTTTGTTTCTTCGTTCGAAGTGTTTTGGGACCGTTTGTCCATACAGAAAAATCTTTTTTTAGTTTTTTCTTTCAAAAATGTGTTTATCCATACAATTTTACAAGTTTTTAGAAATTTTTCTAAAATAAGTTTTTCAAAAAGCAAAAAGTGATTTTGACCACTTTTTCAAAATTTTCAAAAAAAAAAAAAATTACTCAGTCACAAAACTGCAATATTTTTTTAAGTGAAATGCATGTCCAAACATAATTTCAAATTCCAAATATAATTTTTCAACTTAACTCCAAATACTACTTTTTTCAAAAATTATACAATTTTTATGTCCAAACGCTTACTTGGTGTTGCAAATTCAACTTACTTTAGGGCACGTTTGGCCATGAAAAAATTCGCTAGCGTTTGGACATATATTTGGTTGAAACTTGAAAAAATGAGTTTTTGAAGATGAGATGAAAAATAATTTTTGAAAATTAAAATTGTGTTTCGACATGCATTTTACTTGAAAAGAATTTGAAGTTTTGTGAGTGGGAAACTTCAAAAACTACTCTAGAGCTGTTTTTGGGATTTGAAAATTTTATTTTTAAAATCGGCCCCAAAATGATTAAAAACTATAATCAAACATATATTTGAAAACAGAATATGAAAAAAAAAAAAAAAGCTCCCAAATTATTTGGCCAAACAAGAGAGAATCACTTTTTTCCGGAAAAAATTTTCACTTTTTTTTTCGAAATCAATATTTTGCCATGAAATTTCAAATTCAATTTGAAGTTGAATTCCGGAATTTGAAAAACTCTAAAAAACTATTTTTCACAATTTTCACTGAAAATCACTCACAAAAATATAAAAATAACTCTGATTTGTATTCATGTCCAAACACAACTCTAATTCCAAATATCATTTTCAACTTAATTTTTTTTTTTTTACTTATTTGTGAAATTTCACAATTTTTATGTCCAAACGCCCACAAAATACCACCCATCGACAAATAATAATGGGTTTGGAATAAAAGGTCTATTATGATTTCAGGCATATTGCTCAACTTTTTAACGTATGTAATTTTAGGAATTTCGTAAAGACATTGTAAATATTTTACACTTAAAATTGATAATTAAAAAATGTTTAGAATATCTTGATAAAATCTACCTCTTTAAGTAGTATAGTGTCGAAAAAATATAGAACAAAATGCATAATGAAATATATATTTCTATTGCAGAAAGGAATAAAATATTATGAACATTAGCTCAAGTATAAGTTTTGAGATTCGTTTTCTCCCATTTACCTTCCATCCCCCCTGCTCAATGTTAAGCGTGGAACCAACTTTCTTTCGGTAGTGATTTACTCCTTGCGCAAGTGCACGCAGAAATGACACGAGCTAGCCACTTCAAAGGATTGTTGTTTAAATACAAGCCAATATATTTTGAATTTCAGTTTTTCAGTTTAAATTTTTGGGACAAAAGTGTCCCGAATTATCCTAAAATTAGAATTTTTAGTTTAAAATTTTAGGACAAAATAATCACCGTCTAATTTCTAAATAAGATCCCTGAAAGTGACTATATGCACTTGCCCAAGTACATTCATGTTTGTTCCTACTCAAAACTCAGTTATGAGACCATAACATAGAGAAGAAAATGGATTCCTTAAATCGTAAAACATTACGGTTGATTAAAAAAAAAAGGAGCATAATTAAGATAAATTCAACTTATATGCTTTAACGGAGTATTTATTTTTACATTATATCACGTATCTTCTGAGTTTCTTCGGAAGATGTATCTAAATGCATTTTAATTAAAATATTTAAACCATACATTCACAATTATTGGATTGTAAAAAAATATTACATGCATAGGGCGTTTATACCAAATTATATCAACTTACCATAGTTAAGTATTTTTTGTGAGAATATATACCCATGGTTAAGTGAGAGAATTCCTTATACAAAAACATACTTATTATATAGAGTTAATACCCTAAAATCCTCCTAAACTATACAACCTTTGTCAGTTACTGGTACACCCCGAAAAAATTTTGAAGTACTTAAGTGTAAAGCCCGGTAAAGTTTGCAAAGAAAATAATATTTTATGGTACCGGAATAGGTTTACGTGTTAGAGGATTGTAGAAATTCTTCGCGACTCGCAAGCTCGCCGCGGCTCGGACTTTTTGGATTGAACAATGCACCGGAAAGTAAAGAAAATTTTTTGGCGAAAAAGTGCATTTCTGCGGTCCATTATGCGACCGCAGAACCACTCTGCGGACCGCATAATGGCCGCAGAGTGAGGCAGTTAACTGGGTTAGTTGGAAGCAACTATGTTGTCGACTATGCGACCGCATACGCAGACAGTTCTTTTGGCCATTTTGTAACCAATTATGCGACCGATATGCGGTCCGCATATCGGTTATGCGATCGCATACCTTGTTTTGGAGCTCCATTTTTGGGTTTTTAAAACCCGACCCTATTTCGTTAAATATACTCTTTGGGTCATTTTTGAGCTATTATATGACATTTTAGAGTGAGAGATGGTGCCCTAGAGTGAGAAGGTGTTCTCCAATATTTGTCCTTCAATTCTTACCCAAGTTTTGGAAGATTAAGAAGGGAAACTCACTAGGTCTTCATCCTAAAGGTAAGATTCTACACATTAACTCTCAATTTCGAATTTTGTGTAGAAATGGATAATAAGCAAGATAATTTCTGGGCAAGAGGATTGGTTATCTTACATGCATGTGTTATCAAAGGGTGTAGGAAGATTGTTGACCTAAAAATGGTAAAGATTTGGTTGTGGGATGATGGAATTCTCCATAAAAGGACCTTGAAACCTTAATGCACACCTAGTGTTTGATAAAATACTCAAATGAGCTAGAACCATAATCATCTTCCAAATTTTGATTCGATTTGTTATATTTCTACAATAGATTGAAGTTGCTAAGAATTCCGGAACATTTAGAGTATAAGGAAGCTCAAGTGAGGTATGTTGGCTAAACTCTTCTCTTAGAATTGAATCCCACGATATTCATGTAAATTATATAAGTCCCGAGTGATTCATTATGAAATTGGCTATTCCGAGTAAGATTGGGTTGACAGATATATGTTCAACAAGCATCCCAAATGCTCTATTCATGTTATGTTACCAATTGAGGATGTGTTAAAAAATGGGTTGTGCATTAATAATGTTTCGACTTTAAGTCAAGTTCAAATGAAGGCTACTATGCCAAATTTTGTGAAATATCTGTATGTGCATTAGACTCTAAATTGCTCACATGTGTACTACACACTTTGATTTAAATTGTGTTTGTTATTGATGATGAGGATGATATTTGAAATTGATAATGTGAGCATGAAATACTAAATATGGCCAATGTGCCAAGAATGATCTTATAATTATAGCCATTAGTGCCAATAAAATGAAAAGATGTGAAAGTATTATGAAATGCGATGATTGATATAAAAAGGTTGATGTCTCAAATAAGACAGCCTAGACGGTCGGGTCGTGATCGGATACCATGTCGCACACATGGTAGTGATTGTGCTGGAAATTATAATTGAAATTATGATTGTGGTCGATGTCCCTAATGGATAGCCTAGCCGATCGGGTCGTGATCGGACTCCGTGTTAAAAATGGTGGTATTTGATATTGAGAGAAATTGTGGTTGATGTCTCTACTGAGATAGCCTAGCCGATCGGGTCGTGATCGGACTCCGTGCTAAGAGTACGGTAGTACTGATTTTGTGAATAATGATATTGTGAATAGCGGTATTGGTATGCTAAATAATGGTATTGGTATTGTAAACAATGGTATATCGATACTAAAAATCTCCCAATGTGAGATATAAAAATTAATTTGAACACTATCTTGATCCTAAATTGAGGTTTGATGTTGATCAAGGCTTTCATTGACATTATGATAATCTTGTTTGTATTATTTGTCATTCTATTGAGAGGATGTTTAGTTATACATACTAGTGCTATTCGACGGTACTAACGTCCCTTTTGCCGGGGGCGCTGCATCTTTCAATAGATGCAGATGGTTCCACAGCAGGAGATATTGATCAGTGATAGCAGTGCATTTTCTTCCCAGCTGACTTGGTGAGCCCCACTTCATTCTGGGGTCATGTATCTTTTGTACTTTGTATATTAGGTTTGAGGTATAGCCGGGGCCTTGTTGCCGGCATTATCATTGTACTCTTCTTTATCTATAGAGGCTCCGTAGACATAATGTGGGTTGTGTATTGGTGCTGGGGAAAGACAAACTATGTTATGTTGTAGATGTGTTACTTGTCCATTTGAGACTTTAAAAATAATAAAACCATTGGAAATGAATTGGTATTGTAGACATGAACACATTTTTATCTAATTAATGATAATATGTATTATCTCTATTCATGGATGAGTTTGGGTAGAATGAAATCTAACATGCTTACTCGGTCGGATTCACTCGGTTGAGCGCCGGTCGCGCTCCTCGATTTTGGAGCGTGACAATTGCCTACCTAAACTATCACCTATCCCCGAAAACCCTCTGAACTATATCCCCCTTCATAATAAAAAAAACCCTCGGCGCATTCTTACTAGTGTGTGTAATACCCTCTCTAACTAATTTTTAAAATCTGCCACATGGCAATCTACATGAATATTTTTTTATCTTAATCTATAAAATAGAATTAATTAATATTTTAATACTCTTTATTATATCATTGTAAAAAATTACATGGTTAAAAAAAAGGGCCAGGGTTAAAATTAGTGGATCAATTGTAAAAAAACTCATTTTCTCTTTGCTTTCATCGGAGACTTACTCTCATCAGAGAATGGC